ATGTTCGTAGACAGTGTAGTTACCTCCAGATAAACCACATGCTCTTTTCGGTTATTTAATACCCACAATTTGTTTTTTTACCTTTGTTTTTTACCAATTTTGTTTTTTTTTTTAATTTGTTTTCGAATTCCACACGAATTGTGACGATTCTTCACTAAATATTACGAACAAACATGTTGAACGCACAAATTAAACGCAATGACTTAATAGGTAATAAGCTCGACAAAAATCATTATTATACGCTGGTTGAAACTATTACTGCTTTTAGATTTTACACTAACCTTTTATTGCATTACAACCGTTACGGAAAATTCCGTTTGCATTATACATTAGGCTTCACTCGCTCGACGGTCATTATCGTAAACAACGCAACGTTCCGCAAAAGCGCTAATTTTACAATTTGAATGCGACATTAAAATTTTAACGGCCCCCGGCGAAACGGCTAAGCATCGAGTTCCATGTCGAGTTGCGATTATGAATCGGTGGGCGTGGGCGATTCGGGATCATCAGCGGCCCCCACGAAGGTCAGGTCGTTTCGATACTGTTCGAGGCCTTGGGGGGTCGCTTGTTAATCAATTGATGACCATAGAGAAAGTCATTGATGATTCACATAGTCGTAATGTACAACATAACCTATCGATCGTTGAGACTCGGCATACGGAAAGTTATCAAAACTCTCGCCGTTTGTGACCGCTATCACTTGTAGATAGCAAACGCATTTGAATTGCGTAAAACGCGTGCAGTGTGTCTTTATTTCACCTAATGGCAGTTTTATAATGAACCTTGACGATAACCAATGGTAATGCGCTGTTACGCAATTGGCAATTTAGTCCGCATATGTTTTTTATGCTGCATATATTTTCCGGTGGTAGGGCCACGCAGCAGCCTCGGCTGTTGCACGAATGTTAGATATTTGCTTAACAAAATAATATTTTATGTCCATCAGCGCCCTCTGCTTAAACTATTGTTATTTATGTCTATGATTGTCTTTTGGTGTTGTCTATTAAAGCACTTAATAAAGTTGATTACGATCAACAGCAGTGTTTTTAATAGGTCGGCTCGTCCGGGTAAGTACCACGACCTCACAGAAGACCGGCGTAAAGTGGAAGTATAATACTCTCGCGTTTCGTCTGGTGAGTGAGGTGGCCGGGGCCCAATTTTGTTATAGGTTGTCAACACATCTGTAACCCTCGGGTGTAGCAGATGTCCATGGGCGACGGTATTCACTTAACATCAGGTGAACCTCGCAATATTTCACATTAAAAAAAAATGCATGCTGCCTATGATCACTGCGAAGGAACACCGTGTGAAGTAGGTACTTACTATTCTATGGTGATTTTAGTCGCAAGCCCGAATCTAGATTTTAGACACGAAGATCGTTCTTTGTCGGGTATCACTTACTATTTTCTTTTTTTTTAATGTGAGAAGATGGCAAGCGTATTCAGCAGCGGACTAAACAGGCTGAAATGATGATGCTGAAACATAACATGCTCTTTTAGATTGGAAGTATACTAGGCGTTAGTATGAGCCAGTGTAGTTTGTTTCCGTGACCATGAATGCCGCGAGGGACTTAAAAGCGATAGATCCGTAAAAAACCGCGTTAGAGCTGTGATAGCTCAGTGCCCGGGCGCTCGCCTTTAATTCAATATACTCGAGCAACCTGAGTTCGATTCCGTGGTGCACCAATGAAGTTTTTAACTTTAAGTGCTGTCTTATCACGTGCTCCGCGGTGAAGGAAAACATCGTGCATATTTTAGAAATAATAACAAAAAAAATATTTTGAAGATATGTGAAGTCCGCCAATCCGCAGTGGGGCCGCGTAGTGGACTATGGCCTGATACCCTCTATATAGAGGAGGTCTTTGCCCAGCAGTGGGACATGTATAGGCTTTTACTTTACTTTTATCCGTAAAAATACTTTCATTTTGTCTCAGATATTGTTAAAAGAAAGAAAACCAAAACAGGTAATTAAATTAATGAATAGTTAAAACTTCAGTCGGCGACCTTTTTTTTATTGTGTAACTACTGCGCCGTCTGGTGGTGCCAAACGGTCCACGGTAAACAACGTAATAGAACGAGACCGTAGCGCGGCGGTAAGTGTATTAAGAGTTATGAATCAGGCATCCGGTCTAGTCCGGGGGCAATATCTCAAAGAGCCTCTATCGACGCTGGCAGCGCTCCGCCGTCTAGTTTTTAATCACGCCGCTTATCTCTAGGCGAGCCCTTAATCTTCGCGCCAAGTGTCGTTAGCGATGATTCTGTTATCAATTATTGTCGTACTCTGTCGGTACGTTAGTCATCACAATATCAGACGGCTACAGATCATTTTTAGATTACGCGAATTCTACACATTGCTGCTAAATTTGGTTTCTCGATTATGTTTCGAATACTTTGCAGCTTGTCCGATCTCATGACAGAGCTGTTGAATTGTTTTATTTACGAGGCCACCTTTTAACATTATTGTACTGTGATAGCTAAATCATAAATACGGAGAGTTGCTGTTCTACCTTTCTGAGAAAATATAAAAAGTAAATGCTCCGGAATCGCGTGTTGAAATTTTATAGATTATAACGGCAAGCTTGAGTTCCGCATGAGCACGACCTTTACCTTGAGACTTTATTGTACCGTGATAGAATGCGGTAAAAACAGGCAACGCACCTGATGTTAAGTGATATAGAACGTGGACTTATACAATACTCTTCAAAAGAGTTTTGTCGCGTGTGGACATCGGCCTATAGAACCGCGGTACTACCCGAGTCAGCGACGATTCGGTATCACACACACAACAACAGAAGCTGTTATAATGTTATCCTATACTAAGGGTATTGTTTAAAATTTTATACAAAGTACATTACCCATTCTCCTACAGTTATTCATGCAGTAACAAAATCTCGCTCGCGTATTTTTTCCTCTCCCGCGTCCGAATGGCAAACACATTAAGTCTCCGCTCCCACCCAAAATTCCGCCTCCTTGACTCCTCAAGTGTGCCAGAGCGTAAGGGAAGCCATTTTTATTTGTAACTATCTTTTCCGGTCTCGCTTCGGGAGCGATTCGACTCTCTTCCTTCCACAATATTCACAGTTGACAAATCATTAGGTACGTCGTGAAATCTGCTCAAATAGTGCAAAGCTAATATTTGCATAGATATACTTTTGCGTGTAAATGTACGTGTGTTTCAAAGGAATTCCATTTTTGAAATTTCATTTATGTGTGTACTTACGTTTGTGTGACTACTTTAAGATCATAAAGTACTGCCGGCTTAAGACTCGTCTGAGATGAAAAGATCCTCAATTTTCGCTGTCCATAATAATATATTGTGTACTAGTTCGTGCCCGCGACATAATTAGTACTTTGAGAAGCTTATCTTCTTCTCCAAGGTCCCATCTATCTTTATAACAAAATTCTTCAAAATTTCTGCGGTTCTGCGGTTTAAGCTTGAAGGCGTAACAGACAGAGTGACTTTGACTTTATCTTTATAAACTATATGCTATGTGTTATTCTGATATATTAACTATATTATTGTAGTTTCATTAAAATGCATTCAGTAGTTTTTGCGTCAAAGTGTAACAAACATCCACACATAGAAACTTTCGAGTTTATAATGTTAGTAAGGATAAGAAAGTAAGGATAAGAATGTCTAAGGGAAATTTATTTATCACAAAACAATTCATCATCGTCATCATCTACAGCTATCTTTATCCAGATACTGAGTATAGGCTTTTCCCTCTATATCTTTATCTCTCTTTATCTAGCTCAGTATAGTTTTACCAGTTAGACACAAAATAAATCTCGACGTAGTTTAATGTTTCGCTGCGAAAGAGAGATCACTTTTAGAGTTTCTTACTTGTCACAGCTAAAATAAATAGGTGTATTATATTTCCGAGCTATTCGGCAGAAATACAATAATCATTATGATAAATTAACTGTTTCATTAAATGTTTATCAATATTAAAAACACGACAATTCCTTTACCCATTTAATAATGACAACCTGAAGGCACACCACAGGGGTATAGGTGGTTGCATGCATTTATATTACACTTAACGACACCCTATGACCAATAGCGTTCGTGTCCTACACGCATAAATATTCAAGACGCTCGCCTAAATGTGTACCGTAAACTGCGCATTCGTTTCCCTCGACAGAAGGGGGCAATCCCCCAACGAAAACGGTCGAAACATTCGTTCGTTCAACACCAATAACTATAAAAGTGTCTCCGGGTCTAGACATGCAGTGAGCGGTGTTTAAAAATTCACGAATTATTTCGCCCGAACATCTCGTGGCCCCGTCGCCTTAAGGTGCGTAGCACACGCGGCGTAGGCAGCGCTCGGTGTGCCGCCAGACGCATTAGTGTTAGACCTCTCTCTTGAAGCTCACTTCTTCTTGTTCATTTAAACTAGCCGACCCGTCGCACAGTACCGTGATCAGTCAACTAATGGTTACATAATCACGCGTACATAAGTATTGGTCAATGAAAGGTGTCTCGTTTTGAAGAATAATGTTTTTCAGTCTACCTCGCTATCTTTCATTTCAAAAAATTATCAATAGAAGGCTATATCAAGCATCTTTTATGAGAATATTTCAAAAATGAAAGTTTTTTTTGTTTTACGAAAACATTAACAGTATTTTTAAACATTTGTCATTTCGTCTATACTAGCGGAGGACGCAAACTACAAAAACGAATTATGGAAGTTATGGAGTTCCGACATAAAAGCATATGTGAGAAATATGTTTTACCGACTCCAGAAATTGTTAAATTTTGTTAGAGGCGAGGTGTTTGTTAGAGTTTTTTTTAATTCGATTATTCTTTTTTTTTTGTTAAAAAACTCCGTTTTTGCGAACTTCGGCGTTCAGATTCCTTCAATACTGATGTGCTGCACTTAATATTACTTAAATGTCTATAATTGTTTGTTGATTGTCTATTGTCTATGTACATATATATTTAAATCTGCATTATGCTTTATCTATGTCTAAACCAGCTCACGCCAATGCAGATTTCTATCGGTCACCGAAGCCGCTGTCTCTCCAATCTTCGATAGCGCAGTCATTGCAAAAACACTGGTCGCAATATTTCACGATATTAGGTTTCGCATTCGAGAGGGCTTCTGTCGCCCCGCCGTTGTCGCTGTCGGTACGGACACGAACGACCCGATCACTTAACTCCAATTCAGGTTGCTGTCTATCAGGAGTCGTGCAAATCTCTTTGGCGGGCGCTCCGCCCCCCCTGCCCTCCGGCGGGATGGGGCGTACCCAGGCCTCGGGCCTTGCTACGCCCGACCCCGCTCGGAATCACCTGCAAATGACAGATGCATTCGCCAGGGGATTTTGAGGGGATTCACCTAAGCGCTCGCAACCACACCACAAAAGGCTGTGACGTCTCTCGTGGCTTGAAGTGACGCAATCATTATTCGCATTACAATTATTGCAACCCCAGGTTTCGTTGCGTTGCTCTTTGTGGCTGTGGCTCAAACCCATACCGATCATTTATTCGGGATTTAAGGTGTCTTATTTATTAATCCAGATACGGTTATTGAAAGACTTGTTCAGTTATTCCGTTGTGAAGTGACGAGGGAATCACACACCTGTGAGATATCTAAATTATAATCATGAGTAACAAAGAATCTTCCATCACTGTATACAATTACTTTTTATTAGCTTAACCTGTATGCAAAATTATTAAAACTTTTGGGCGACATTATTAACGAAATAATAAAAGGCTCATGTAGAATCGATGTATGTATGTCCTATAAATGTTATGCTTTTTTAATTATAATAATTTATTTATTTATTTTTATAGTTTTATTTTGTATAAAACCGCTCTGTGGTGATAATCTATAAACATCACTGTGCGGAATTCATACCGGATATTTGAACTGGAAAATATCCTAGTAAATGATTTGTTATTTATTCATTTGTGTGTAGTTAGTTGTCGATATTCGCAATTCGAGTGCGGCCGCATTTCGGATTATACGCGGGCATACGTCGAATTTCATTAATTGGGTTGACGGACCTGTGTGCAGTGGTAAATAGCGCAAAACCGATGCACTCTCTTTGGACCGTATCTCTTATACCGATCAAGGACGATCATAATGACATTGTAGGCTATTGTAGGGCACTGTACGGTTTTCTAGAATATCCATACGCGCGCACAGACGGCTCCCGCACCTCAAAAAAGTATAAACGCGAAATTGTCTTTGTTGGTTAGAACATATTTAATTGCGGTATAAATCTGGATCGCGAAGCCTGTTTTTGGAGCCTAGTTATGATCCATAATATTGACAACTATGAGACATGAGCGTAATCATGTGATAGAGCTAAAGGTGACTAAAAGGGGACACGGATGGGCAGCAGCACGAAGTGGTCACGTGCTGCTGCAAGAGGGTGAGGGAATCGGAGAAGGTTTATCCATCTCCGAGGCGTGCTCAGGCGTAGTACCGAGGGACACCGGTGAGTTCCATGGGAGATCCCGGAGACCCTCCAAATGTACGGAAGGTGGCCACCGAGGGGGTTTTAGTGGGTAAGAACCCCACATAACCCTGTCATGTAAAGTAAGGTATCTTTCGAAGATTCCCCCCACCCCCGATACCAAAATATAAAAAAAGGAAGTCATCAACAGACAGCTTTGTTAGCCTTTGATGATTGTCTTAGTCTCCATTAACATTAATAATTGTAGTTCACAATTCCTAATATATGAATAAGGTTTCAGTACAAAGTCCACTTTTAACTCGATCATTATATGTTATGAACCCTACGATACATTGACCCTTGCTTCACCCGGTTTTCACGTGAATAGAGTAATTATACGAACAGAGAATGTCTAGTCTCATCGATTTTTTTATGGTATAATTTGACACAGTCTACGTTTTTTTTTTACAAACCGGGGCGTTAAGAGTGAATGTGGTAGGTTCAATAAGCTAAAAAAAGATCATAAATTATGAAGATTATTTATTAATTTATGGAAATAGTTAAGTATACAATGTCCTATTGTATGACCGTATATTTGCACGTTCCCTGGCTACTATTGCTTTTATGCTAATAATCCTTTCAGTAATGTTGAAATAGGAAAAGTTTTTTAGATGAAAAACCGCAGAATTTTCAGGCGAGCCCTCTATGGCAAGGTCTTATTTAATGCAACGTTGGTATTTTGACGTTCTTAAAACCTGGGAACAAGTAAAATAAATCGATTTTTGCTACTGGGCCTGGATTAAGATGAAAGCAGTTGCGGTCTGTCCCTTGACCATGTATGATGTAAAATGTTCGGAACGTGGTAATTTTAAATTAATATTACACTATACAAACTCCGTAAAAGGGTAATAGTTATCAATGGAATTATTATGTCTAAAATATTTTTATTTGTTGTGTATGTAATTAAATCGCACATAAATTATAAATGAGGTGGTTTGTGTTTAACGTTGTTTGTTCTTCACTAAAAGAAGAATTTCCAGTTTTGCCGTTAATACCGCAACTCTAGCCAGCGTCCTTGTTAATAATTAATAACCACTGTACAACGGGAGTGTGCGAACGAAACTCGCCACGGACCCTCGGTGAAAATGATAAACGGACGCGGTACCTAAGTGTGCCAAGGCACGAGACGAGTTTCGATACGTGCTCACTCTTTGGGGGCGGGGGAATCCCCTCGCAGTAATATCGCCGGCCCGAGAACAGTGCGCCGATATCGAGGGCTGCTCCAAATGTGTTGACTGTGTCCGACCGGACAATGTTTTCCTGGTACACATACACACACATAAGTACATTTCATACTTAGGTTGGTTGATATATTTCACAACTGTTGGTGAAAACTGTTGTACTATTTTGTTGTCCGTTTTGACGGAAATGCATTAATTGTACGTATGGACGAAAATGCTGTTCAATACTGTGTTTTGTTTTCGTTTTGAGTTCTAGACGTTTCGAGATTATTACAGCTTTCAATAATAATAGTTAACGTTATATTCGTCGTAATATAATAAATGGAGGTTGTGTGCCTTTTGACGATTTGTTAAGGAGTAATGAATTTAATGTGCATATTAAAATTTAAAAAATAATCATAAACATATTTTATCTCTTTTCCATTTATAGTACGTTATGTTGTTGTGTTATAAGAGTTTTACTTATCACGGGCTGATAATAAACTTTCTTGTTTTAAATTTTTTTTATCCAAGGGCACACAGAAAAGATCTGAAAATTTGCATATAGCTAACAATTAGCACATGAGGTAGCTAAAAGTTCGCTCTTAACAACGTGAAATTTAGTCCCCGATGTGTGCATTTACCTCCCTTAGCCGCTTTCAGCCAGTTGTAACGCCGTGGATTATAAAAATACATTGCCTTTGTTTTGAAGCGAAGTTTTATACACGCAAAATATTTATTTTTCGCTCCGTGACATGTCCACAACAAACCCAAATAACAAGTCAGACAACTCACCCCGCGGCTGATTCCAAAAACACATCCCCTTCCGTTATATGGAAAAAAAAATACCAAAAAAACATATTCATATAAAGTTTGCTTATGTCCGGCCCTGTTCGATCGGTCTCCGCTTCGTTTTCATAATATTACGTCTTTGTATCGCCCCAAGCCATTCGCGAAACTCTGAAAGGTTAAGCTACCAATGATTATTTTAATCTTCATCATTTTTCACCAACTTTTCGTGGAATTCTCTTAAGTTTTTCGTCGTCAATTTGTCCGCACTGATGTCAAACTGAAAAATAATATATAAATAAAAAAAATCTCACTGCTATAGCTGTAACACGAAGTAGCTATAGCATATGTTGTAGTTTTAAGAATACCCAAAAACGGTATTATAGTGCATTAATTAATATTGTCCTGACAGCGCAGTTGGCGAAATGACTTAACTACAAGCAAGCAAACATGTTTAATGCTAGAGGTCAAGTGAAAGATGAGGATGCAGATGGCTCATGATTAGAATATATGATTAGAATGGTATATATATATATATATAGGTGATACCTTACGAACCTTTGTACATAATTTTTGATGTAAAATCTGACGATTCATAAGAGCGCGCAAGCGTCTATTTGAATAAATATATTTTTGATTTTGATATGACATAATTTGAAGTTTCAAATTTGCTTTTTAAAAAATAAGTCTTCATAAATTAAATGTAAAATGCAACATAATTTTCAGTGGGTAGTACCCTCAATAACATTTCTCGCGATTCGCTGGAATTCCTTCTCCTTGTCATCGATCAGCTTTGATAGAAGGGGAGTAGGGTGCGTGCACGTCACGCACTAAATCTTCCAGCGATATAATGTTATATAAGCACAAAGTAGTTTTTGTTCTTATGGGACGATATCCGACACAGATCCCATTTAACAATTTTATGCTGTGGCAAACGATTAATGAAATATATATAATAAAAATATTGATATTTCAAATTCGTGACCGTCTTCTGGTCGCCGCCCGACATATATCATAAGAGAGGGCTGTAGGTAACGAAGAAAGTACTTTATTTATCACTTATACTTTTTTTACAACCACACAGGCCTGTTTCCATGTTCTATGTATGGTTGCCTTACTGAAATAGATGTCATCGAAATTATTGGTCACATCTATCCTTCATAATGTTAGTGGCCCGAGGATTTACGCTAGTCTAAATTTGCAGTCATATTTTTTTGCAGATCGAAGGAGGCTGCCAAATAGAATTAAGTTGAGATGAATTTTATCCCATGCTACTATCAGATCGATTTAAAATGTATAGTATATAAGTAAACCCCAAGCCTAAAAACTGGAATTGAAGATCGTATAAAGTTATAAATGATATGCCATTATTTCACTTATCATTTACTTATTATTTACTTTCACCTTCCTGAATTTCATATTTTAACGTAAGTCTCAAACAAAACTGGACACGAATCTGTTGCCCACTGTATGCAAACAGAGACATCTAGTAACTAAAACTCATTAACGCACGTCACTAGTATAGGATGGACGCGCCTACTTCTATTTCAATTTCCAGTCTAGACCTGCACTTCTTTAAAAAATATCATTTCCCTTTCCGCCGACCTATTCGGACAAAATCGATGGATATTTACCGCGGCTTTGTTTTAAAATCTCAACAATCACCCCTTAAACGTTGCCGATTGCTAGCGATGGCCCACCGGCCGTATCTTCACGCTTTGTTCTCCTTTTGGCACAGCGTAGATTATTTATAAAGCAACCACCGGCAGCGGCGCATTGTGCGAACGAAACGGGAGGAATTGAAAAACAAACGTATCCTTCGCAAAACTGTATGCTTCAAGTGTCCCGAAGAATCCTCAGCGCGATGAAAGCACGAGGCTCGGTATTCTGTCCAGGGGCGTATTCTAATATTCGACGTTGGTAGTTATTTTGTTTCAATTTTTGAGGTTTCCGTTCAGAAGGTCGAGAGCCGCTTGCTTTTAGTTCTAGCAAACTGCTGAAGATTGTTTTGAATCTACATCTGCTGCGAGACAAAAGAACTGTTTAGTAGTCCATAGCTTCTCCACTAAAGGCTTTTAGATTGTCCATATGTATTATAAAATTGAGTGTATGTTATTATAAAATTGAGTAGGCATATATGCCTTAATGTGAATTAGATATAACATAACCGTAACTGATCACAGAATTCACTCTATCGTTATTCGTTATCGGACCACAGGAGCCAAAATAAGTAAAGGTCGTATTTGGAGCCTTATTAAATTTCTCATTATCCTATTTATCCTTCCTTTCGCCTCTTCCGACTCTCAGAAATATCGTTCGTCGAAGTATTCTATAATCGAATTTAACAAAGAGGCACTTAACGCATTGGAATTTCAACAACTAACTCATATTCTTTTGCAATTGACTGGACTGTGATGTAGTTGGAGACCAATCACCGGAGCTTAGCTATAACAGCTAGCGCCCCCTCTATGTTTCCCGTTTTTCCAGTCGTCTATCCAGACGTTGTCTTTGATGAGCTCACAGATGTGTTTTTGGATCATTGCATCAATCGTAAACCCGAATTTAACCCAGATACGTTGCGCAACGCCCTCCCGCGCTATCGTAGCACGTCGTCACAACTCAGACGGAGCGACGAAAATTACTGGCGAATCAAGTGGCCGTGTAATAAAATATTCATCTCGTCCCTCCATCAGGCCACATCGGAATGACGGATTATTCTGTGCGACCGCGATGCTCAATCTAATTTTGATAATCGATACATGCCATTATTCTATCATAAAATATTGAAACGCTAAGTACTATATTTCCCTTCGAAACGATGTATACGCAATCAGGTTAGCGTATTCGAATTTAGGTGTTATTGTCTTGTAATGTAGTCGTATGATATAAATCAATAAATTGTCTTTTTTTACGAATGCTGGTGTTGCTTTGTGTTTGTATAATGGCCTTACGACTTACTTATATAATAGTTTGTGTGGCTAAATGGTCAAATATCCTTTCTAGATAGGGGGCTCCGGATATGTGGAAACAAAGAAAGTAAAAGTGACGTTAAAGCTTAAAGCTATCGAAAACATACCCAAAATTTGGATTATTGACGCTATTATTAATCATTTTCTGTTAGAAAATATATGAACTATTCATTAAGGTTAAAGTGTTTAAGCTTACTACGTTAGACAGACATAATCTAACTCTCCACTTTAATAAAGCTAAAAATTATTCTATTTAAATGCTATTGCTATTCACCATTATACGAATAATCTCTTTATCACTCATCGAAATGCTTATAAACCCCGATTAATACAACAGGCGATACCTCAGTTGCGAGAAACAATTAGTTATTGCGCGCAATTTATTTTTAATTAATTTTTAATGCTCCCGTTAACGGCGAGTAATAATTTTAATGAGCGAAAGCTGCCTTAAACGATTATTACTTTATCTATGGCTGGATATCTGTCGAGTCGGCTTTAGTCGGTTTTATAAGGATTAAAATCGCGCTTCAGCTTAGTTTGTGTACATACTTTGTGGTGTACTTCGTTCGAATGCGAGGCTTCGGTTCGCATCACAGCATCAGCCAATCGATTTTCGCTCTTAAAGACCTTGTATACCATTTATTCTAGATCTCTGATCTACGAGGTGACCTGATTTAGCGCGTGATTACTGAAGCTCACTAAACGTTCGTACGGTATATTTTTAGGAGAGAAATTCTGACGCAAACTACCCTTTATAACTATGACGATAGCTATTCGATTTGATGTACATATAGGATCCCATCAATACCTTTAATCAAAAATGTCAGCTAGTTGGATGTCCTTATCTTCTTACAGACTAGACTGAACTGGTGCTTTTATGATAGTTTGTAATTACTTGGATAACCCCCAAATTTAGAACGAAGTTCTCGTAAACAACGAAGGGACAATACAATTCGTTAATTGAAATCCGACCCGCCGTCCAGCAAAAGACGTCAATTTAATTATGAAAATGAGCCTTCGAGAGAGTGCTCTCATCGGCCACTACATTATTTATCTGTAATAACACCGCAGATTAAAAATAATAAACCGCCGCGCCGCCGTCGTCCCCACGATTTCAACAATAATAAAGGCTTAATGAAAAACGCTTGAGCGGGCACAAATAATTTCAGAATTATTCCACAATACGGTGACCGACAAAGAAAGTTTATGGGGACTATGGAAAGGGGAGGGGGGCTCCGGGAATATATATAAATAAGTGGTGCGCACCGGGACAATAGGTTTCGGATGCTTTGATTTCTTCTCTTTAGAATTTTTTTTATTGTATTAGGAGCGCGCGCGGGAAGAGGAGCCGTTCAAAATTGGA